GAAGTGCAGCCAGAGTACTCCTTAGAAGCCAAAATGGCCAAACTTGGTCTCTCATACTTTGGACATATTGTCAGGAGGGAACAGTCTCTAGAGAAGGATATCATGCTTGGTAAGATGGAGGGTCAGAGAAAAAGAGGAAGACCCCCAATGAGATGGATTGGCCAGGTGGCAGCACTGATGGACTCAAGCGTGGAAACAGTAGTGAGGTTGGCCCAGGATCAGGCAGTGTTTCGTTCTGCTGTGCATAAGGTCGCTATGAGTCAGTACCAACTCGATGGCACCTAACAACAACAACAGAAATGCATTTGGATACGCAAATTTTTACTGGCATGCGACATTAATGATATTGTTGAATGATTGCTGCATTCTGTTGGATCACCTCTCTTTGCAATGGGCACAAATATGGATCTCTTCCAAAGAGTGGGCCAGGTAGCTGTTTTCCAAATTTCTTGGCAGAGATAAGTGAATGCTTCCAGTGCTGAATCAGTTTGTTGAAAGATTTCAATTTGCGTTCTATCAGTTACTGGAGCCCTGTTCTTGTTCATTCAGTGCTGCTTGCACTTCTCCCTTCAGTTCCATTGGTTCTTGATTGTATGTTATTTCTTGAAATTGTTGAACATTGACCATTTCTTTTTGGTATAGTGACTCTGCGTATTCCTTCTTTTGATGCTTTCTGCATCATTCAATATTTTGCCCATTGTTGCTATTAAGTGCCATGGAGTCGGTTCCAATTCATAGTGACCCTGTATTTCTGAGGGTTTCCAAGGCTGCAAATCTTTACAGGAGCAGAAAGCCTTCTCTTTCTCCCATGTAATGACTGATAGATCTGAATTACTGACTTTACAGTTAGCGGCTTGTAATCCACCACACTACCAAGGTTCCTTCCATTTTGCCCATAGAATCCTCAATAACAAGGCGAGGCTTGAATTTTTTCTTCAGTTCTTTCAGCTTGAGAAACGCTGAGCATGTTCTTACCTTTTGGTTTTCTAACTCCAGTTCTTTACACATTTCATTCTAATACTTTGCTTTGTCTTCTAGAGACACCCTTGGAGATTTTCTGTTCAGCTCTTTTTACTTCCTCATTTCTTCCAGTCACTTTTGTTTCTCTACATTCCAGGGCAAGCTTCAGAGTCACTTCTCACATCTATTTTGGTCTTTCCTTTCTTTCCTGTCTTTTTAGTGACTTTTGCTTTCTTCCAGGGTAGATGAGACATAGGGTTTTCAATAACTAAGTTTTCAGATACAGACCCCCCCAGGTCTTTCATTCAAGGCTCCTTTGGTCAGCAGCCCAGCACAGTAACTGTTTATACCATCTTTCTAGTCACAGAAGTCCCCAATGTCTACAACATGGGGAACATAAGGAACTCAAGGATAGCAAAACAAAAAAGGGTAACAGAAACACTGAAGGGAAAGGAACTTGAACCCTTTACAATTAGGCCCAGGACTTAAGTCTATGTGAGAATATTTGAAAACACCTCAGATAAAAGCAATCTGAAAAGTACATTTTGCTACTATTTTATTTCACATTCAAAAAACATAGCCTAATGGGCACTGTGTTGTGGCGCTGTGGGTTAATACGCTGGATTTGCAAAGTCAGTTTGAACAGCAGGGTTGGCAGTTCAAGCTCACCAGCTGCTCCTTGGAAACCTTATACAGGGTTTCTGTGGGTTGAAACTGACTCACCTGTACTTAACAACAACAACAAGCAGTTAATTAACAGCTCTGGATCAAGTCTCAGTAACTAGGACACACTTGAAGTGAAACAGCACTTTTTTTCCCAAAGAGATCACAGAACCCCACTACGAGGGGCCACTCACCCCGGAGAGATAGCGCTCCAGTTTCTTGTTTAAGAGGAAGTAGATGGCAAGGATGTGGCAGGCACGGTTGGAGAGCACGGTGTTGATCACGTCACTATTTTTGAAGCCCAGCTTCTCCGTCATGTGCAGCACCACACTCGGGCTCAGGTCCTCCAGGTGGATCCTACACAAAGGGAAGGGGAATGGTTACTTCTGATCTTCACGGAAAGACTCTGGGGCCTCACAAGTAAACCATACATATGCAGCTGCAAAGTCAGCCCACACAGGCCTCCTGTGGACAATCATGCTCACTGCCCATCCACTCAATCACCCATCCATACATCCAACCACCCACCTATCCATCTATCCACCCACCCATCCATCCATTCATCTATCCACCCATCCACCTATCCATCCATCTATCCACCCACCCATCCATCTACCATCTATCCACCTCTCCATCCATCTATCCCCCACCCATCCATCTACCCATCTATCCACCCACCCATCCATCTATCCATGCATCCATCCATCCATCCACCCATCCATCTATCTACCCATCCATCCATCCATCCATCCATCCATCCATCCACCCCCATCCATCTACCCATCTATGCACCCACCCATCCATCCACTCAGCCATCCATCTATCCACGTATCCATCCATCTACCCACATGCCCATCCATCCACCCACCCATCCATCCATCTACCATCTATCCATCCATGCATCCATCCACCTATCCATCCATCTATCCACCCCCCATCCATCTTCCCACCCATCCATCAATCCATCTATCCACCCACCCATCCATCAATCCACCTATCCATCCTTCCATCCATCCATCTATCCATCCAGCCAGCCAGCCATCCATCCAGCCATCCACCCATCCATTCATCCATTTGACTGCTGTTAAGAAAAATGGAGGGAACAGTAATTACCTTATTGATATCCATCACCTGGATTTAGCAATTGTGTCTGTCAGTTTGTTGTATTGTGATGACTTGTGTGTTACTGTGATGCCGAAAGCTAAACCACCAATATTTCAAATACCAGCAGGGTCATCCAGGGTGGCTAGGTTTCAACAGAGCTTCCAGATTAAGTCAAACTAAGAAGAAAACCTTTCAATCTACTTACAAAGATCAGCCCTACTCTATGGATCATAACAAACTACTGTCTGATGTACCTGCTACTTACATGTCATCAGGAGGGTCAATTACTAGAAAAGGACACTGTGTTGGGTGACAAAGAGGACCTATACAGGCCAGGGAGAGCTTCAGTGAGATAGACTAGCACAGGATCTGCAACGATGGCCTCACACTTGCCAGTGATAGTGAGGGTGACACAGGACCAGGCAATGTCTCATCGGTCGCTATAGGTCAGAGTCCCCTCAGTGGCAACTACCCACCTCTATCTAACACTTTGTCACACTTGCTTCAGCTTTCTTTTTTCTTCCCTCCTGAAGTGATTTAAATTACAGTTCATAAGATCTCATTTCTAATCACTTCAGCTGTTACTGTTGTTAAGTGCCGTCGAGTTGGTTCCAACTCATAATGACCCCATATAGGGTTTCCAAGGCACACAGCCATTACTACCACCAAGTCTTTACAGAGGCAAACTACTACATCTTTCTCCCATAGATCTGTTGGTTTTTCTTTCTGGTATTTTCTACACAAATACCAAGGAGCCCTGGTGGCTCAAATTGTTAAGCATGTGGCTATTATCCAAAAGGTTGCCAGTGGCTCCACAGGAGAAAAATCTAGCAATCTGCTTCTGTCACATGAGATTGTCACATGAGTTGGAATCGATTCAATGACATCCAACAACAAATAACCATGCTGCTCTGTGAATTCTGTAAGTCATTCCAGGATATTATCAAACCCACACAGGAAGCGGAAGCCAGCAGGCTACAAGTATGGTGTTGTGTGAACTCCAGACTTGTGGATGCTATAGGTTTGGGCTGGTTGGTCTATAAAAGCAGGGAGGCTTTCTTACACTTGTAGCCATCCCTGGGTAGCTGGAGGTAAGACAGCAATAATTGCTGGAGGTGCCCACATGCCCCTTACTTCTCCTTGCTTGTTAGTACATGTGTTCTTACTCCTTTTAACTGGTTTGTTGTTAAGTGCCATCGAGTCGGTTCTGACCCATATGAGGTGAGCTTGAACCACTGACCTTCCAATTTAACTGGTAGAACCAGGAAATGAATTATCAAGATTTTTTGGTCTTAAAGACAGGCATTTTTCAAAATAAAGATGGTAAGTAGCATGTGCCTTCACCAAAAGTTCAGATTTGATCATTTAAAAATGGAAGGTTGACCTGCTTCTAGTGTAAAATGATTAAATGGATCTTTCATCAACATCCTATTTTCTTCAGTAGTATACAAGATCTTAACCATCTTAACAATCCACCTAATTAGTTACAAGTCCAGCCCTGTGCTTCTGACTAAGTCCAAAGTAAAAATTACCCATGTGGTAAAAACAGTTAACTTTCCTAGGGCTGCCATAACAAAGTACAGTCAGCCCTCTGTATCCGTGGGCTCCCATCCGTTAATTCAGCCAACCTCAGACCGGAAATATTTTGGGGGACGGGTTGGAGGATGCCTCCAAAAAAGCAATTAAATGATCAAAGCAATCCCTCAAAGGCTAAGAGGAAGCATAAAGTGCTATTTACATGGCATTTACATTGTACTGGGTATTATGCATAATCTAGAGATGATTTAAAGTATACACAAGGCTGTGTATAGGTTATATGCAAATACTACACCATTCAATAAGCCTCCTCGGATTTTGGTGTCTTTCATGGGTCCTGGAAGCAATCCCTTACAGATACTGAGGGACATAACAGCAAAAACTGGTCATGTCTCATTTCTAAAAGCTAGAAGTCTGAAATCAAGGTATCAGCACGGCTACGCTCCATGAGAACTCTCAGGGAGGATCCTTCCTGTGTCTTCCTAACTTCTAATGGCTGCCAGCAATCCTTGATATTCTGGGGATTTAGGTGCATCATTCTAATCTCTACCTCTGTCTTCACGACAGCCTTCCCTCCAAACCTGTGTCTCTCCTCATCATTTACACTGGGTTAGGATCTACTCTACTCCAGTATGATCTCATGTTAGCTGACATCTTTAAAGAACCTATTTCCAAATAAGGTCACATAGTCACAGGTACTGGAGGTTATAACATCAACATTATCTTTTATAGGAACACAATTCAACCCTTCACACCAGTACAGAACACCTAGCTTTCAAAGTTTTAGTCGACAAAAGTCTGTCTACAACTTGTAGGAAAGTTACAAAATGAGATGCCAGATTGTGCTTCTTGGTGAATGAAAATGCAACCGACATGCAGGGGCCCCTGTATCTCTAATCCCAGCTTCACTTCCTTCAACAGCTGCTGCCTTGAGTGGATTGATTATGCTCATTTAGATGGTGATTACATTAGCTTAATGACTCATCTGGCTGCCACTGATGCCCCCTCTTTTAGCAGGAAGTACCTATGTGCTTTCTATTATAAGCACCAGTAATGAGGCATGACCCTTCAGCTTCACTTTCCAGCTCACGTTGGGGTAATATTTCTGGTGTCTGTTTCAGAAACTGGCCCAAATTAAGCTGGTGTTAGAAAACAGCAATCTATTTCCAGGTTCCCTTGGTAACCTGAGTAATCTAGATTTTGTTTAAATTATCACTCATGAGCCAAATGCTAGAGTTCTAGATGGAAACTCAGTGGCCCCACCTCCTCTATGGCAAGTATAAATTTGATCCAGTAGGAGTCCTGGTGTAGTGCTGTGGGATCAGCAATGGACTACTAATTACAAGGTTGGCAGTTCAAACCTACCAACTGCTCCTTGGAAACCCAGGGTCCCTAGGAATTAGAACCAACTCGATGACACTTAACTACAACAACAGTGTGGGTGAAGACCCCAGAGGTACCTGAGCCACGTACGTTCCTCTAGAACTTCCTCCCTGAGTCAAATGTCCTGCTTGCCCATTCTGTCTATAGGACTAAGTGCTGCAGTTCTTGTAAAGTTTTCTGGATATTTCCAGACCTTCCCAGGCATTTTGAAAATATGGCCATGGAAGACACCCTACTCCCCTTCCCTTTCATCCCCACAATGGTGTCCCCCTTGATGAGTGGTTTTCTTGTCCTCAGCCACATTTGACCAAAAGTGGAGGACATTCTTAGATGGAAGGAAGCAGGGTGCAAAGTAGTCCCCTGGGGTAGATCCATGCTACCTACTGTTTGGAAAGCATAGTGGCTCCTTACAATAAGCACTGGACTATGAACCACAAGGTTGGCAGTTCTAGCCCACCGGCCACTCTGCAGAGAAAGATGAGGCTCTCTGCTCACACAAAGATTTAGTCTCAGAAACCCTATACAGGACCACTATGAGTTGGAACCAACTCAACAGCACTTAACAATCACCACCACCACCTACATGCTTGCACTAATGTAACCAAGGCTTTGTTGTTAGTTGGCCCTGGCCCATGGCAACCCCATGCACATTGGAATAAAATGCTACCTGGTCCTGCTCCATCCCCCATGACCAGTTGTGGATTGGACCGTTGTGATCCATACGGTTTTCACTGGCTGATTTTCAGCAGTATGTTGCCAGGCTTTTCTTCTTAGTTCCTCTCAGTATGGACACTCCACTGTAACCTGGTAAGCCTCCGAGTGACACACAAGCCTCAGATGCACTGGCCGAGAATGGAAACTGTGCGAATTCTACCTTATTCGGCTTAGTGAGCAATGTGCCAAAAAAACAGAAAAAAGTCATAAAGTGTGTTCTTGTATTGCTTTTCAAGTCTGTCATCAGCATTCCTGCCTGGAAAAGTGGGGTCACTACAATGTACTGGTGAGTGTTTAATGCTGTGTATTCCTGTCTTCCTCCTCATGGAAACTGCTAAAGCAAATCCTTCACAGGGATTTCATAGAGACACAGGGCCTAAATCAAAGGACTTCTTCTTTTACGTTTTCTCCCCACCCCCAATATTTTAAGGCAGGGCATTCTGCTGAAATAAACAATTAGAATAAAGAAATAGTAGAAGAGATGCCAACAGAACAGTCTGAAAGTGAAGAGGAACAGGTCTACCACATTCTGCCTGTTTCTGACAGCAGGGTCAGTGGCGGATATCATACACACACACAAGCACATCTCGACACAGACACAGACTTACAGACATACAAATGCACAGATACACACATTCACACACACAGAGACACAAACTCATCTTTGTGTTCACACACACAGACACCCAGAAACTCACACTCACTCAGAACCCAGTTAGTCTCATGGCTCATCTGTGTGGATTAGGAAGAGGCTTACCATAAAATTGAAGAAAAACGTGGAACAGAACTCAAATTCTGAAAAGGTCCAGACTTACTGGACCACTTGAAACTAGAAGACTTCCTAAGACTATGGCTCTGAGAAACCCTAAACCTTGAACCTAAACTATCTCCTGGGGTCATTCAATAACAAATTGGTTTATAAAATCAACAATATCATCCATGAGGGCAAAGTGCCTTTAAAATATCATTTGTATAAAACCAAATGGTCAACAATTACTCTAAATTGAAGATGAGAAGGTAAGGGGGTGGGGAAACTAGATTATGGAAAATGAGACAACCAGAATGGAAATAATGAGACTGTTGACACACTGTTAAAAGTGTAACCAATGTCACTGAGCAAGTTGTGTGAAAATTATTAAATGTGAACCTAATTTACTGTTCAAACTTTCACCAAAAACACAATAAAATATTATCCTAAAAAGGAAGAAAAGATGGGAGGGAGGGAAGTAGAGAGGGGGAAAAGAAAGAAGTGATAAACGGAGGGAGGGAGAAACAGACATCTTCTGGAGCAGGTTTGTCCCTCTGTAGGTGCCATACTCGGAGGGAGTATGGCCTTTTGTGCACAGAGTGCTGTTTGTCTATGGAAGTGTGGGTTTAATGGGGTAAGAACAACAAAGAGAAAATGTGGCTTTTCCCCACATTACATGCAGCTTCCTACCCAGGGCTAGCAGAATTGACCCACCCTACATGAGGAGTCCCTCTGTGAGCAACGAGTTACCTGTTGGGGTAGGTGATGTTACACGGCACTTTACCCGTGTAATTCTCATTAAGCCAGCGGTTCGCCAATGCTTGCTGGATATTTGGCCTCTTCACAGGATCTGGTTCCAGGAGAGAGCGCAGGAAGGTAACAGCTCCTGTGAACACAATCAGCAAAGAGCACACCCATGTTACCAGCTGAACACACATCACCTGTTAACCCCTGTAAAGCACATCCCAGTTAAAGCTGGGCAAAATATTTTCTGGGTTTTTGAAAACGATAATTCATACAGCCTGAATCCAGTCCCACTGCCCTCCTGACAGGTGAGGTGTTTTAAATCTCATTTCTTTCTCACTCTTTTTTAAAAGAGGTGCTAGAAGTCCAAAGATATTTACATATGGTAAACAACTGGTACCCGCTAAAGCAAAAGCTTGTGCCTAACCATCACAGTGCAACCTGCAGTTTTTTCTCATTTAGAGGTGAACCAAAGAGTTGATGTTCTATTTACAGGCTTGAAGGGATAAAAGAAAATAAAGAGTGCTTATACTCAAGGTAAGGTTTCACATTCAGAAAGCAGCCAGAAAGGTCAAGGTAAAAGGCACTCTAAATTAGATCCTCAGTGACATGCTTGCAGTCACAACAGTCTGATCCATAACTCATCCTGGAGATGGGCTTATTCTGTTGTCCTTGGGGTTACCATGTGCCCAGGATCGAGGCTGATTCAACAGCCATTGTTACACGACAAGCACAGACTCAAGGGGTTTAGCAGGTCCTGCTTTGGGGTCCTTTCTTTTAAAGCCATCTTAACGGATGCCCCAGTTCTCCCTGAGCTCAAAGGACTGGCGATCTAGAACCAAAACTGAGGCTTATCCTCACTTAACTGAGCAAATCAGGCCCCCAGGACACCAGAGAGCTGCAAGTCTTATTGAAGTTGTATTGAAATGTTATGTTACTTCCAATTTGGAGGCTCTGAACATAGACAACACCTAGGTCTACAGGAATTCCATCTAGGGCCAAGAATTCAGCTGTCATCCCTTCTCCACCTACATCTTGAGTTCTGTAGTCAGCAGGACACCCCTGACCCTGAGAGTTCTCTCCTTTCTGGGTCAAACAACTGCACTAGTTTTTTGTTTATTTCTCCTTTCCTTATTTTGTTTGTTTATTCTTGCTTCCTTCTTCCTCTCTTTCACTTCCTTTGATTTTTTATCCTTTCTATCTCCAGTTATGTTTTTGAGTCTCTTTTCCCACTTCTCATTTCCATCCTCCTTCTACTTGTTTTTTTCCTCTTGAGTTTTCATTACTATTCTCATGTCCCTTTCTCTTTTCATCTTCACTCGTCTTGTTTTTGATGTTTTTTCTCTTCCTTCTATTTTCTCTCATATTTTTCTCTGTACAGATCTATTTTCCTATCCTTTTTTTAGTTATCATTTTTTATTATTGCTGCCTATTTTTTTTCCCCTTTGTTATTTTCCCTTCTCACTGTTGTTTGCCTGTTTATTTGTTCTGTTTTGGTTTCCTGTGGGTGCTTTCTCCTCTTTCCCCAGCTCAGCCACACTGTACCCTCTGCAGCTTCACCCACTGGACAAGAACCAATACCAGCTTCTACACCACCAAATCAATAACAGACATCAGCCAACACCAGACAAACCACCCTACACTGAGCTGCACAATGGAAGGATACTTTCATTCTCTAATCACACCTACCAGGAGACAGTTGGTGAGATTTTAAGAACACACCAACAAACAGTCATCAAATACAACAGCACCACAATGTCTCAGACACAATGGAAGATTTTAACTCACATGAAGAAAAAAGAGAGTGACCCCCCAAAATGACAAATAAGCAGAACCAAGAAACGTTTCTGAGGAAGAAAGAGTAATAGAATTACCCAGGGAAAAAGCCAAAGTATATTTTCCAATGAATTGACATAAAGATTGAGGAAAACAAGAAGAACACAGAAAAAAACTTGAGAAGAATTTAAGGAAACACTACAAGAACAAACGGACAAAATAAGTGCAAATTTTAAAACAATACAAAACCCAAAAATAGAATTCCAGACAATTGATACTAAAATCTGAGAAATGGACAATACATTGAAAGGGCAAAGGAGCAGATTTAAATTAATGGAAGCCCAAATTAGTGAACTTGAAGATAAATTTCTCAAAACTAGCAAAATAGAAGAACAATCTGAAAAAAAAAGAATTAAAAAATTGAAGAAGGCCGGAGATTTATGTGGGACACCATGAAAAGGAATTAACTTATGGGTGATTAGAATTTCAGAACAGGAAGAGACAATAAACAACACAAAGAAAATCGTCAAAGTTGCTGAAAGAAACTTCTCAAACATCATGACAGATGAGAAGATAACCATTTAAGAAGATGAACACATCCCAAAAATGATATACCCCAAAATAAAATCACCAAGACATATCATAATCAAACTTTCCAAAAACAAAACCAAGGGAAAACTCCTGAGAGAAGCTCAGGGAAAACAATAGTTATGCACAAAGGGAAAATAAATAAGACTAAGCTCTGATTTCTCAGCCGAAGCCATGCAGGCAAAAAGGCAACGAGGTGACAGATACAAAACTCTGAAAGAAAAAATTTGCCAACTAAGAATCATATACCCAGCAAAGCTGTCCCTCAAATATGATAGTGAAATTGAGACATTTCAGAAAAACAGAAATTAAAGGAATTTATAATAACAAGACCAACTTTACAAAAAAATACTAAAGGGTATTGTTCTTTGGACTGAGAACCAATAATAACAAACAGCAAGCTAAGATTAACATACATGACAACACTACTCAGAGCTTAACCCAGATAGAGAAGTGTCCAAAGTAAAATAAAACCTATAAAACTGAAAATAGGGAACAAGAGGCAACAATTTATAATAGCTACAAAACAAAAAGAGGGGAAGTTTAGATAAAGAACTTCCAAATGGTAAAGAAGTCAAGTCGATTTCAAGGTAAAACAGACTGCTTTAAACAGGGGGAAAAATTAATAGACTACAGATAAACTCAAAAACAATTAATATACCTTCACATCAAAATAAAAACATAAGAAAGATTTAGTAAATATTGAAAAACAGCAGTGAAGAAAATGAACTCAGCCCAGAAATGCATGTGAAACAAAGAAACTAGCAACACCACACATACAAAAAAATAGAAACACAGAAAACTGACAGCAATTAATTCATACCTATTGATAATTACACTGAATGTAAGTGGAATAAATGTTAAGAGATAAGAGAAGCAGAATGTATACAAACTTTGGTACATACACACGACGGAATAATCCAGATATAGAAGAATAATGATGAATGTGTGAAATAAATACCTCATAACATGGATGAACCTGTATGACATTATGATGTATGAAATTAGTCAAATACAAAAGGGCAATATTGTATGAGACCACTGTTGTAACAAATAGAGGGAAGGTGGCATAGAACAGATGAAGGTAGTAGAAGACACAGAGAGGAATGCGAGTCAATGGAACATGTACAGATGTTAATTGATGGTATATGGAAGGGACTTCAATCAGTGTAATGACACAAAGTGTATAATTTGTTGAACATGGGACTGACGTCTGTTTTATAAGCCTTACACTCGATTTACAATACAACTTTTTTTTAAAAAGTTAGCAGAAATCTTTGTTTCCTAGGGCTGACATAACAAAATACCACAAAGTGGGCAGCTTTACAGAACAGAAATTTCTTTGTTACTGTAAAATGGTTAATTTTATTTGTCAACTCAGCTTGACTATGGTTCCCAATGGTTTGGCCAAATACTAGACGAGTTGCTGTTCTATAATGTAACAAACAGAATGCAGTGAAATCACTTTCCATAATGTCATCAAATATTATGTGATAACTCGAGCAGCCAAAAAGGGAGTGTCTTACAGTATGGTCAGCTTTCAGATAATAAATCAGTATTTTGACAGAACCCCCGTTCCCCCCCCCCCCCCCCCGCCTTTACCTCTGCATTCATCCTGTTACTTGACCTACGGATATGGGGCCACAAGCTTACATACCTGTCCAGCCTGAGGCCTAACTTATGGACTGTGCACTTGCCAATCCCCACAACGGTGTGTGCTAATCCCTTGAAGTAAACCTCTCTATGTATGTGTAAGTATGTGCACATCATATATGCATGTATCTCACTTGTTCTGTTTTTCTAGAGAATTCTAAAAACGTATTTTAAAGATTAGAAATCCAAATTCAGGGTGTCAGCAGGGGCCATGCTTTCTCAAGGCTTGGGGAAGGCCCTTCCCTATCTCTGTCAGCTTCTACAGTCCCCAGCACCTCTTGGCATTCTTTGACTTAGAGATGCATCTTTTCACGTAGAACTTCCCCATCTTTGTCTGCTCTCCTCTTTTAAAACACCATTCATAAAGGATGAGGATTAGGACCTACTTAACAGATATGATCTACAAAGAAAAACTCTATTCCTCAAACGTGGTCACATTCATCAGTGCAGGGCTTAGAACTTCAACATAATTTGAGGACACAATTCAGTCCATAACAGTGAGTAGATGTGTAGGCACCAATCCTGAGTTACATTTGATACCACATGTCTGGGTCTCCAAGTAAAACTGTCCATGTGTGCTTCAGTGGTGTGCAAAAGCAAATATCTCTGAAAAGAGGTTCTTCTTTCTGGAACCTGTATCTCCCTTTCCTAAATCCCTCTAAACTGCAAAAGCTATTTGGATGGTATTTTGCTTCATGGATGCTCAGCCAAGGACATACTGTTAAGTGCCACTGAGTTGGTTCTGACTCATAGTGACCCTGTATAGGGTTTCTGAGGCTGTAAATCTTTGAGGGAGCAAAAAGCCTTATTTTTCACTAGCATACCATCTCGTGGGCTCAAACCACTGTCCTTGTGATTCACAATCCAGTGCTTATCCTACAGAACCATTAGAGGAAAAAAAAGAAGTGGGCTTAATAAAGGAAACTGGGGGCAAGAGAGAGCCTGCTGAGTGAGTAATATTTTTGAAACATCTCTGTCACTTACCCTCAAAGGACCTGAGATGATGCCCAGACTACCTTCAGGGTTTTTCAGAGTATGATGAACAGAATATCTCAGGACAAATTGGATGTATGGTTTTGTTCTATTTTCATAATCAAGCTTTCTGCATCTTCATAAATTGCTGAT